CTGCCAATTAATTTTATTATGAAACTTTTTCATTAATGGTATCAGAGCAAGTTACCCTACGTGTTGAGCCCACGTGCTCCTACATCACGTACTCAAAATGTCTACATGCTAGACTTAAATGATATCACACATGAAGAAGTGTGTTGAGATCTCAACGCCTTATTTTCTCTATTAACTACCCAGCATGTGAAGACAAATACCAAAAATATAATATTACCCTCACCATTCTTGAGAGTTGAATCTAAGAAGTCCAACCAAGTGAACCAAATACCACTAGATCAATTTTTTTGTTGATGTTAAAGGACATATGATCACCTCAAGGAAAAAATATTATTCAATAAAAACAAATAAGATTTGAGTTTGGGTCCACCCACCACCAATTAATTCACATACCCAAAATGTAAAACACAAATCTTAAGACTCAAAATGTAAGAATATTGGTCTAAACTTTTCGCATTGGAGGAGAAAATCAAAATACTCAAACCCACCACCTTTAAAATATTTTAACATTAAGATTGAGTCCATCAACACTTTATGCTTTTAAAGAGAGACCAATGAAGAAAAAATAAAGGTCAATGAAGGAAATGTTTAGCAAGTAGACTGATCTTAGTGCAAGAGGAAAATTGCCTTTGTTGATGAATTGAAGAGGAGAATTGTTTTGATTGACTTATGCAAAAAATTGAAATGATCATTAACTGAAATATAAGTTGTTATTGAGACTTCAAAAATCTCATTTTACACTTCTTATAAGTGTATTTTTCTTTCTAAATATAGAAAGTTTGAAGTGCAAAATGAGAATTTTAAGTGCCAATAACAATTCCTTAAATTATTATTAACTTAAATCAAATCTCCTAAAACTTTATTTTACAATTCTTATTAGTGTATTAATTCATCAATTGCAAGCACACAAGTAGTTGTTTTCAAAATAACCCGATTCCATGATATCCCTAACCGGTTTATGCGAGAAAACAAAGGGCTTCCCAAAATAATATACTTTGCCTTTTCATCAAGTGCTTCATTTCGAGGCAACACGAGCACTTTCCCGGCGTTTCCTCCCAACACCTGGAAACGCTCAATATTTTATATGGATCCTCGTGACCTTCTTTCCCCTAAAATGACCTTATTTACTTGTTCATGTTCACTACAATGCCCCTGCTGCCTTCCAAGTCCAAATTCCAAGCCCACAACAGTGGATGATCAATCCAATTTGTTTGGGTTCCGCGCATGTACATGTTTTAACAAATTTTAAGACAACTTTATTTAAGCAGGTGCATGCATTACAATATTGCATCTAGATTCATAGGGATTTATACATAGGAGAGGTGGATAAATATTGTGGGATCTATCAATTTTACAAAATATCTTTGGATCGTTTGGATGGCAGTGATGATGAAATTCATGCATATATGCTGGACTTGGTGTGCAGAAATAGAAGACTGAGGGCTTGGAATTTGGAAGGCAGCAGGGGCATTGTGGTGAACCGAAATCCTTGCTCCGGCTACCGTGTAACCTTCCTTCTTTTTCTAAATAATTCGACTTTGATTCATTAGATTTAGTAAACAATAATACTTACTTCTCTATTAATAGGTAAATATACCATTAATGCAAGCTTATCGATTTAGTTGTTGAAAAGTCCTTGAGAACCACCCCAACTGGTACCTTTCCAATGTCAAAGTCTTCTGATCTTGCAGGCTATTTTCATAAAACTACTACAATACAACTCGAAGTTAAGTTGGTTCCAACATATATCATATCCATTCAACTAGTAACCACACAGAAACACAATTGAAGAGGAATAAAAAACCGAAAGCAAAAGAAAAAGTAAAGTTTCGACTTTGTTTTTTCTTGTTGATCATTGTTTCAACTTTGTTTTCTCAGAGAAATAAATGGAGCATTAAAAATTAGCTAAAAATAATGTAGCACTAAATGCAAATTAAGCACTGGAGGGCAGTATAGTAAAAGCAAAAGATTAGATAGGTATCGTGGTCATACTATGGTCAAAGTTCCTTCTGGTTTTGTAAAGCATGCAAATGGGATAATTGGCTCGCCTGGCTGCAACTAAATTCAAACCAACGGCTCTCAATCGCATAAATATAGCAGATACGTGGCACACAGAACTTGAAACGCCTTGATGCTAAGTTATGCACCACCCTCTCTCTCTCTCCCTCTCTCTAATATTAACCCTCTCAGTCCACATGTTTCAAGAAGAAAGCAGAGAGAGAGAGAGTGAGGTGTTCGGTTAATTTCTTGAAAATTACATTTAGTTTAGATCTTCTTTGCAATTTTTTTCAGGTTAGTTTTTTAGCTTGTACAAATTAAAATGTGAAAACGAAGCTATGAATTTGGTTTTGTTTGGTTTTTATTAATTTGATTTATTTCTTCTTTTGCAGTTTTCGGTTGAAGGGTTTTGATCTTTTTTTAATCAGTTGAAAACGATAGACGTGGGTTTTTGCCCCCTTATTGTGGTGCACTTCAGTCAAATAGGATTATATTTATGTCCGAGAATATGGCGGGAACTGTGTCATCATCAACAATGGCAGGTGATTTTCTTTAAATTTGTTTTTATTTTTATTTTTGTAGTTCATTTTGATTTTTCAGCAGCATATTTCTGGGGCTAAAAGATTCTCACTTTTGGATCTAGTGAATGAGTACTAGTGAACTTGTATAATCTTAATTCTGAAAACTCTCTGAATATGCAGCTGATCAGCTGGAAAAAGACCACCATTGATTCCAGCAGTTCTGAAAGCAGACTGTCTATTCATCAGAAGTCATATAAAATTTAAATAAATCCAAAAGTTTTGAAAAGGTGTAAATTCTTCGCAGCAGATTTACTCCTGCTCCTCCTCCTCCCCTTTCTCTCACTCTCTATCATATAATATGGGATTTATTTTGTATCCTATAATAGTACTTATTGTTAACTATATACATCTCTCTATAATGAATGCATCAGGATGCGGTGTTATATTTATAAACACGTATCTGTGCATATGCAATGTACAAGTGCTTCCTTTAGGCTTTCAAAGTTGCCAAAGAACAGAGAAAGATTAATTCTCCAACGGCTTCTTAGAAGACTGAAAATACGCACACACAAATTTGAAATATCGACACATAATATTATTGTTCCATTCAATATAATTTGCTATAATATTGTAACACAAACCAGTGTTCAGGTATAAACAAAAGTTTGTGAACAACCCTTGCCTTGTAGAATAGCCGTCACACCAACCCTAGCTCAATAGTATCTTTATTTTAGTAGGACTATCATTTCAATTAGAAGAAGAAAAGATATGCTAGCTCTTGTTTATCTATTAGAATGTATGTTTTGGTCAGTAAGGGTGTGCAGTGTAACTCTATATAATACTAGCGGAGGCTAATTAACTTGTGGATAATTTTCCAATTAGTTTAAAGAGACCTTTAATATTTTTTTTAAAGGAAAACTAATGAAAAGGGCTTGAAAATTTTGAGTTTAATGATAAGGACAAAATAAAAGGTAAAGTGAATAGTACCAAGTTTGATTTTTTAGTGTAAAAATGTGATTTTTTGTTAAAATAAATAGTATCGTGGACTTTTCATTAAAACTCCATTTTTTTTAACCTGGACGCTTAACTGGATGGCACAACACAATACAAGCTTCTAACTGTGGACAGGACATTAGCAGAAGTTATTTAATTAACAAATATCTGCTCCCATCTTTTGACGGGTACGCAAACCAATTTGGTGGTCAACAGAATTCTTTGCGGAAACCAAAAACTAGCTAGCTAAATCCTTCAATCTTTTCTTAAGTTTCTTTTCAGAATCAATCCAATTTTTTTAATGGAAGCAGCAGAGAGTTTGGTGTGATTTTTGAACAGTCGAGTAATCCTTACTCCTTAGCCAAGACCTTTTTAATATTAAATATGTCGGATTTTTTAGGTTTATATATTGCTGTCCGTACACTCACATCTTTAGTTAACACATGCAGGACTCGGGGATCCACAAACTGGGTTTTCTTTGGTGGTGAGAGCACCCCAATTTTGCAGATCTTCTCTTCTGTTTTAAAATTGTTTCGATCACCTTATAAAAAATCTCAGTATATTTATCCCTTTGCAGATAAATGTGAAAGAACAGAGAGAGAGAGTGAGAGGTCGGTTGGGTTTGTATAGATATATCTATAATCTACTAGTTTAACTTTACGTAGAGTTTGAGAGTGGGAGATGATTTGTAGAGTGTGGGAATGCTGGGCCTTCGGGAGTCATTTGTTGCACTTTACGAGGTCGAGAGTTCCAATAAACCCTAGTGGGTAGAGAGAGAGAGAGAAAGAGGTTTGGTTGGACTTTTCCAAATTGGAATTTAGGGTTTGTCTGAGTACAAAGACTGATTTGGAGCTCGGCTTGTAGTTTAGTGTGACACTCGTGTCTCTTTAATTTAGTTTATGGTGATTGAGATAGCAAACACTAATTTTATATAATTAGAAACATATTTTTTTATATAATTATTGTGGTAATACTTGATTCTGAAATGTTGGAATATGGTGTTAAGAGTCAGATCAGTCAGAGTTAGACCAGCCTAAAATGACCAATGCCAAAGGGGTGACAAACACATTTTTATATAATATTATTTAATTTTTTGTCATTGTTTGACATATAGAGTAAGACTATAGCAACCCTAGCTACCTAGTTTATGCTAATTCATATAAGTATACCTTGTATCCTTGTCAAGATTCTCTCTTTTCAGTCTCCTCCCCTCTTCTCTCATCTTCTCAAAACTACATTCTTCTCTATACATAAAATCTAGAGAGAGAGAGAGAGAGAGAGATTTTCTGCTTCACCACTCTTCGAAACCCTAGCTATATATAGTCACCTGGGTAAACATCTATATATCATCACTTCTTCTCCTCTCTAGCTTGCGGACACCGCTAGTTTTTTTTTTTTTTGGGGTTTCTTTGAATATTGTCTTAACATTTTTATTTCCTTGTGCAGGAGAGGTCTTTGAGTTCTTGGAGAAGAGTTCAATCAAAGAAAATGAATTCAAACAACTGGCTTTCCTTTCCTCTTTCTCCTACTAATTCTTCCTTGCCATCACAACTCCACCCTTCTCATTCTCATCAGTTCTCTCTAGGGTTAGTAAGTGATACCATGGATTTCCAAAACCAAGGTAATTCTTCTTTCTTTCCATGCATATTTTTTGTCCGTTTTATTTTTTTCCTTTTTCTTCTCTCTATCTGTCTCTCTCTTTTATACACTTTGTGATTTTGTAGAGTGGCATTTGATTAATACTCAAGGAAGCGACGAAGTTCCAAAGGTGGCTGATTTTCTTGGCGTGAGCAAATCCGAGAACCACTCAGATCTTGTAGCCTTCAACGATATTCAGGCCAATGATTCTGTCTCCGACTACTTATTCCCGAGCAACAACATAGTCTCTGTACAAAACACCGTTGTAGACAATTCTAGCAACTTTGATTTCCAAGAAAAATCCAACAGCCTCCAATCGTTGACTCTCTCAATGGGAAGTGGCAAGGGTTCTTCAGCATGTGAAACCAGCACCGATAATACCAGCGTTACCACTGTGGAAGCTCCCCCAAGGAGGACTTTGGACACATTCGGACAAAGAACGTCTATTTATCGTGGTGTAACAAGGTCAATTTTTACATCCAATTTTGTTTTCTTAATACTAGTCTTGTTTTCTTGGTCACAGGTGATCGAGGATTCATGGTCACTCACTCTTGAAATTTATATCAAGAGCTCAGATTACAACATCAAAAAACACATATATTTATCTTCAACCCTTGATATCAAATTTATCTATTTTATCTTTCACTCTTGATATCAAATCTGAAAATAAGTGACCATGCATTCCTTGTTACCAGGTGACCAAGATAACATTTATTTTCTTGATACATTAACATAAATTATTTTGCATGTGTAAATATATATATAAATAAAACAGGCATAGGTGGACAGGAAGGTATGAAGCTCATCTTTGGGATAATAGTTGCAGAAGGGAAGGACAATCCAGGAAGGGCCGCCAAGGTATTTATGCCTTATTCTCCTACAGCTAGGGTTCTTTTTACCTCAAATGTCTCACTGATCATCATTTTCTTGATCTTCATCATGGTCATTGTTGTTTCGGGCATGGTTTTTTCCAGTCTACTTGGGTGAGTACTAATTCTAACTAGCTACAATTTGTTATTTACCATTCTGAATTCTAAAAGCTGATGGTTTTGAACATTTTTGATGTGAAAGCAATCTCCTTTCTTTTCTTCTTGTTCTTTTGAATTACTTTAAACAGGTGGGTATGACAAAGAAGAGAAAGCAGCTAGGGCTTATGACTTGGCTGCACTAAAGTATTGGGGAACATCTACAACTACAAATTTTCCAGTAAGTTAATTTATGCGAATAAAAAAAATTGAAGGCTTGACAATGTGTCCCAAATAAAATAAGGGAAAGATAACTAGAGTTTTGTTTATATTCTATATGGCTTTTTAAGTAGTGTTGTACTATTGCTGCAGATCAGTAACTATGAGAAGGAGGTGGAGGAGATGAAGAACATGACAAGACAAGAATTTGTGGCAGCCATTAGAAGGTAAACGAAATAGAACAGACATATTTCCCATTTCGTAATTCATACCTTTTTCTGTTTAAAGAATTGTTTCTTGCACTAAAAGGTGTTAACTTTTCTTTCCATTTAATTAAACTTTCAGGAAAAGCAGTGGCTTTTCTAGGGGAGCGTCCATGTATCGTGGAGTTACAAGGTACTAAACTAGCTAGCTAGGCACGCTTTGTCTCCATGTCTCTCTTTCTCTATTTCTCATTGTACAAAACAAAATCTTTGTTCAGGCATCACCAACACGGACGATGGCAAGCAAGGATTGGCAGAGTTGCCGGAAACAAAGATCTATACTTGGGAACTTTCAGTATGTTTCTTACCCCATGCATACAATGCAATTATTGGATCGTATATATCACAAATATACAACTCAATATATATTCACATAAATATTCCCATTAAAAATAAATAAGATTATGTGGGATTCATGCAAAGCCCACTTAGATAAATTAGTATCCTCATTTTTGGTTGATACGTAATTTTTTTTACTTGTATAAGGGCTGGTTTGGTAATGATGTGCTTTGAAAAAAAAACTGATTCTGCTGTATTGTGAGAATAAGTTCATTTTTGCTGCTTCACGTTTTCAATTTTTTTCACCTAAAACTGTGAAAATAAGCTATTTTTAAGTGTTTATCAAACACCTTTTTTAGCTCAGCTTTTTTTTTTATACCCACTTTTGCTAGTAATACTTCTTTGGTGTATGACACTTTGTTGAAGTAAATGTGGTGCATGTAACATCATTCTTCGTCACATTTATGTGACTTTGATTGATTGAACTCTACATAGGTACTGAGGAGGAGGCAGCTGAAGCTTACGACATAGCAGCAATAAAATTCCGAGGCCTAAACGCCGTAACCAACTTCGACATGAGTCGATACGACGTGAAGAGCATTTTGGAGAGCAATACTCTCCCCATAGGAGGAGGGGCAGCAAAGCGTCTCAAAGAGGCTCAAGCATTGGAATCTTCCAGAAAACGTGAAGAAATGATAGCTCTCGGCTCCACCTTTCAGTATGCGGCTGCAGGAGCCGCCAGTTCATCAACATCAGCCAGTCGTAATTTTCAAGCCTACTCTTTGTTGCAGCCTCAGTCAACCCTTGATCAAAATGTACAACAATCCCAGCCTCTACTAACTCTCCAAAACCATGATATTTCTCAGTACATCCACCATCATGACCCTTCTTCATACCAAAATTACATTCAAACCCAGCTTCAGTTGCACCAGACCCAGCAGCAATACCATCCTACCCAGCAATTCTATAATAGTTATGGACTTCAGAGTACACACCCAGCTTTGCTTCAAGGTCTCATGGACATGGGTTCTTCTTCTGGCGTGATGGATCACAACAGTGGAAGCTCTAGTGGGAGCTATAGTGCTGGAGGGTATTTAGGGAATATTGGAATTGGGTTGGCTTCAAATTCAACAGTAAACAATGGAGTGGGTTCAGCAGAAGAGCTCGCACTTGTGAAGGTTGATTATGATATGCCTAATGGAGGAGGGTATGGGTATTTTTACAATGTGGAATGACTGAGGCTCGGATACTGAGATATTGTATGGGGAGATTAGTAATCTTGCGGTGGGGGAGATTAGTAATTTGTGATCGGGGGGACTTGAGGATGGATAGGAACAGTTTACTACCCCTTTTTTTGGGTGATTCTGAAGTAACAGGAGCTGATTTTCAATGCCTACACTAAGGACCTGGAGGACCTTTTATTTTGTTCTAGTATTTTGCTTATTCGATCTTTACATTGAACTCTGACCATAAATTAATCCCGTTGTGGTAAAACATGGTAGGATCAGTAGAATATGGGTGAAAGTTGGAACCCTAGATTTTGTGTGCATAAGACCTTTTGCACAGCTGCTGATGTAATTCTACTTGTGTTACCGTATGGACATTATTTCCAATTGAGTTTCCAACTTGTTTCAAATGCAAGTATTGTAATACACGTATATGTTAACCTTTCAAATGCAAGTATTATAAGAAGTTCGGCTACTCTAGTGACTTTTAGTTTCAGGTGGTCTTTAACTCTTTTAATCTTATTAAAGTGGATTTTCTTACACGTGAAATCAAACGACCACATGTATCCACGTATATGAGGCTAAAAAATTTGTCAGGGTTATGGATGTGAGGATGTGATGTAAAAGTCCTACATCATGTGGGAGATAAACTGATATATTGTACGGACTTATAAGCATGCAGTTGGTACTCTAGTATTGCGATTGGTTTTAGATTAGAACCTCAATAATATTAAGGCTAGTTTAGTATTGTTGTGCTTTAAAACAACTTATGCCCTATGCCCTGTTGTGATTATAAACAATTGTAAAATAAAATAGTTAATTGTTTGCTAAACTATATTAATAAAAATGCTTTTAGAAAAATGAGCAGTGTTGTATTGATTGATTAATTTTTATGTACAAGTATTGTGATTGTGTACAATAACCAAAATTGATATAATGTTGAATGTGTGATTAATTTTATTTCTGAGGTGATTTTATTAATTTCATGATAAATAATGGTAAGTTTTTAAGGTGTTTATTATTCTTGGTTCAGCTAAAAAGAAAGGGTCTTTATTATTTTCATCAAAAAAATTTAAAAAAAAAACCTTCAAGCTATGTTTCAATTTCAGATCAGAAACTACGGGAGGTTGTGAAGATGTTCAGCTCTGTCACTTGTATAATCATCATGGTTTTAAAAGGCGCTAATCAAACAATAAGCCGGAAATGCATGACAAATCATTGAGTGGAGTAAGGGCTTTTTTGGTGTCTGGATCTATACGGATCGCTTGCCGGACTCCAAAATTTCTCCCCTCTTGATGATATAAAAATAAATAACCAATAAAATTACTTGTGGCTAGAGCCTAGAGAGAGACTCTGTCAGATCATGGGAGTTTTTTAAATCGACTAGTTTTAGCTCAATATATATAGGGGTGGGTTCGGTACGGTTACCGTACCAAAACCCTTGTACCAATTACCGTACCAAACTTTTGGTTTAGTAAAATCTATTACCATTACCGTACCAAACTTTCGGTATACCGAAGTTCGGTATTGCCAAAAGTTCGGTTGGCATGGTATGGCAATGGTAATTGCCATTTTGTTTTGGGACAAAATCTGTTTTTGTTTTTTTAACCCAATTCAAGGGCAAAACTTTTTTTTTTGTACCTTTATCTCATACATTGTAAATTAAATTAATCTATTATTCATTATTCACAATTCACACACATAATAATTCAAATGATGCATCAAGATTCAATATGAAAATTAAGCTTACAATCCAAATAGAAGTTACGAACCAAAACAAATAGAAGTTAACAATCCAAATAGAAATTAAAGTTTCAAACCAAATGAAAATTGGAAGTAAACTTCAAAAAGGAGAATTCATTGATCAGTTATTCAAGCTTGAGATGTCGAAACTTTTGGAAGAGGCATTGAACTTGTAGAAGATTGAGTTTGTGTCAAGCATACATTACAAACAAAGAAAACATATTAATTAGTAGCAAGAAAAATTAAAGTTGAAAACCATTTAATAACAAATTTACTAAAAAAATTAAAGCATATCTTTCTTGTTTTTTTCTTCTTTCATTTCCTTGTAAAATTGAAGCATATATTTCGTTGGTTCCTTGTAGAAGTTTACTTCATCTGCCCTAAGTCAACCACTAGTACGCACTAGTGCCTCCATTATTTTAGGAGTCAAGGATACCCTAAAAGGGTCCACAACCTTTCTCCCTAGGCTAAATGCATTTTCACTAGCAACAGTAGAAGTGGGGGTTACAAAGATATTTTGGCTATTTTGTGAAAGAATTAGGAACTCTTTTGTGTTTTGATTTCCACAATTTTAAGATATCAAAGTCACCAACAACAATACTAATATAAGTAGGGTTTTATTTTCAAATTATTGGAATATTATAAATATGTGTTATATAATTATCTATTATATAATTTATAAATTATAAATTATATTGTATTTTTGGTATGGTACGGTAATACCGTGGTAATGGTATCCATTACCAATACCGTACCATGAAATTTCGGTACGGTACAATACCGTACCATTACCGATTGGTACAAAAAATTTGGCACAAAATCGGTATGGCACGGTTGGCAATTCGGTTGGTACGGCAATTTGGCAAAAAAATCCACCCCTAAATATATACATCCCTTTCCAATCCTGAAATCAAAATTAGATTTTATAGAGTTTTCTGCTAATACATTATTAGCTACATTATAAGCTTCAATAACAATAACAAGGTAATAGGTAAATTTAATTTCTTGAACATTTTTTTTTTTTGTATCTAAATCTGTTGGGAAAGGAAAATTAAACTTATTCTTCAACAGCAAGGCATGCACATTAGATTGGTTATAAACTGAATTACAAGTGACCATGTAAAATGAGTGAACTTATTTATCATTCTTCAATCATGAATATGATAATTGGCATGAAATGTTACGTAAAGAGCTAGTCTAAATTTTACAGTTGGTGAAAATCAAGACAGAGATTTTTTTTTTTTTTTTTCTATGAAAGAAAATGTAAGAATTTGATAAGGTTAAGGGAGAAAGTCTTGGTATGATTTGTTTGAAGAATTTGAGATATTGGAGGAAACTAAGTTGAGAATAAATATTTTTTTTTCTTCCATGTTTTTGCCAGTGGGTTGTTGTTTCTATTGGCCGATATATCATATCTTTACCAGAAGTTTATGGGTTTTTCCTAGCAGGTTTTACATTAGCGGAGCCCATTATACCAAACAATGACCGAAATTTCATTCGATGTAAACTCAAATACTCTAGAGTCCATACACAAACTCATTCTGAAAATCTTGGACGACGGAAAACCATCTCTGGCACGTTCAAACGCCTATTAAAGAAGATGACAACTCTGGACAGGGAGGAGGAAGCTAATTAGAATGGATCCATTCGTTGATGTAGCACAAACAAAATGGAAGAATTTGCAACCGCTACAGCAGTTTGCAAAGAGGGCAAGATAGTGAGCCGAATAAAACTTTACTTTTCGATCTTGGGGGAGATAGTTTGAAGGTGAGTGCATTGGCCATTGAAAAGTACAAATGAAAAGTACTTCATACTAGTGAAGATGAGAGATAGAAAGTAAGGACACTGGATTGTCTGCCCTCCCCATCCATCCCCTTCCCATACCCTCCTATTTGAACGGTCACGGTTAAGCCACGTCAACATTTTATATTCCCATTGCTTTTTGTCTTATATCTCTTTAAAAAATTAATATAAAATGTTAACGTGGCTTAACCGTGACCGTTCAAATAGAAGGGCATGGGAAGGGGATGGGATGGGGAGGGCAGACAATCCAGGTCCTCTCTTTCAACCTCATGTTTTGTAACTTGCATATACAGGATTTTTCAGTGCTATATTCTTGTTTCTTAGGTTGTAATTTGATTAGAAAATCGTGAACCGCTTTATATGCTAGAGATAAAAAAGAGGAATAAAAAGGATTCAATTCTAAAGAGGTGAACAAGGGGCTTAGAGCATTAAACTGCGAGTTGTCAATGATGCAAAGCTGGAAAGTAAATGGTTGATGAGGTTATCATGCTAGATGGTGGCAGTCGAATCCCGACGATAAAAAAGATGTTGAAGGATGGGTTTGATGAGATGGAGCCAAATGAAAGGATATAAAATTGTGTAGCCTATGGGCCTATGGGGCTGCTTAGAAGCCAGAAAGCAAATGCTTGATCATGGGGCGAGGGATCAGGTGCAAATGCTTGATCATGGGGCGAGGGATCAGGTGCAAATGCATGATCATGGCGAGGGATACAGAAGCAGGAATGTGTGATATATAAGAAATTGAGATTTACAGGCATGTTGAATATGTAAAGTGTGTTTTACTAAACCGTCTATATCAGCCACATCATTATCATTTTTCATCTTCTACGTTTTTGCCAGTGGGCTGTTGTTTATGTTTGCGGATCTATCATATCTTTACCAATAGTTTTTTGGGTTTTTCTTACCAAGTTTTACATGAGCGGAGCTCATTATACCAAACAATGGCGGAAATTTCTTTCAATGTAAACTCGAATCCTCCAGAGTCCATACACCACCTCATTCTGAAAATCTTGGAATACGGATAAACCATCTGTGTCAGTCGAATCCCGACGGTCAAAAATATGTTGAAGGATTGGTTTGATGAGACGGAGTTAAATGAAAGGATGCAGAATTGTGTAGCCTATGGAGCTGCTTATGAAGCTAGAAAGCAAATGCTTGATCATGGGGCCAGGGATATAGGAGCATGAAAGTGTGGTATATACGGAAGAGATATTTACAAGAACGTTGAATATGTAAACTGAATTTTGCTAAACCGTATATATAAGCCACACCATTATCACTTATTATCCATATTATGGAAATGCTAAGGTAACTCCCTCTAAAGCGAGACTCTTCATGGACTCTCTGTCACCTTATAGCTTAACGTCAATTTTCTTACCAACACTAAAAAACATTGTGCAAAAAATATGAGGAAGTGTCCATTTCACTTTTGAGAGTCCTTCAACATTCCTCTTCGTCTTAACATGAGATCTAAAATTACCATGTAAATCTCACTCCATGTTATATTATTCAAGCCGTGTATTTTAGAGATAGATCTTACTTTTGCTCGCATTACAGCCATCCACTTCCATCTCTGCAACCACTATCTATAATGCACTAAAGGCACCTCTTCAAGAGCACAAAAAACAGAGAGAGAGTTGTGCCTTTACAATTTCATTGGTCACAAAAATGTGTCCAACTTCTCCGTTGCACAAACGAATCCACCAAAGACAACCTGGAACCGGCCATTCGATTCTTTGTAGCTCTTTTCAAATGCAAGACACTTGTTATTGCTAGTTTTGCCATCAACCACTTCCATCTCCCAGAAACTATCTGTGTGCCCGATTTAGATTCCTTCACGTAGCAATCGACGGAAATATTAAATCTGCATCAGATAGTACGAGTAGTTTTGTCGAGATGCAGAAACGTTGTCTGGAACTTTGGGCTTGAATTCTTCCGTTGGAGCACCACACCACCTTTGTATTTGCAAAGGACAACTTCTTGTTATAGATCCTCCTATTTTTGCAGATCATTCAGATTGAAGTCTCGGAAACATTAACATTCAGATCGTGTTTTCTCGATATGTAAGTGTTAGGTCGTACAGTTTGTAGTTTTGTGGTTTGTCGTTGGCACCACCCAGTGGTATAACAAAAGACCGACTGTGTTGCTAACATTCCAATCTTTTGTGTTATGCGATTTTTTGGGGTTTCTCTTCTATGCTACGTAGCATTAAATACTATGAGAATTGGATAACTTGAAACCACAACAAAAGCAATAACCCGAATTAATTCAAATCATTAAATCCTCGTAGCATTTACTGCCACGTAGCATGGAAGAATTTTTCAATCTTTTGGTTTATTTGCAAAGGTGTGCTTTATTAGGTTACTACTTAAGGAATAACGGGGTTTTCTTCTTGGTTTGATTTAATCTACGTCATAAACGTTGATAAATTTTAAACTATTTTTGGAAAGGATTGTTGTTGTGGAGTAGAATATCAATACACATAAAAGCATAAATTCTCCCTGCATCCATTGAAATTGTCAAAATGTATTAATAACATGTTGACACATTTTGGTTGCTGTTAGAATATAGGCATATTATCTATTATATATCGACATTTTGTTATAAAAAACAAACATCCATATCACAGCAAACTATTGACATTTTTAGAAGTAAGTTTAAAATAATCAAAAACGTTTTCAAATCATCCAAAACACTTTTGAGGAAATGTTTGACAAACAAAAATTAAAATGCTTATGGACACTTGCTTTTATTTTTATTAGAAGGTACGATTTGCTCTTAATAGAAACGCTTATGAGCATAAGTGAATATCCCATTTCCAAAAGGTCTTCGGGTCCTTCTCTACAATGAATTGACCCTCAAGCAAGCATTAAAGGTCCCAATATAATAAAATAAATTAAATAAATAGAATAAAAGGACAATTTTAAAGCGGCGATTGCGAAATACCAGTGCCGCGATGCTAGAAATCCATTAACCACTTCCCCAAGAAATAGAAGAGCCATCAACTGGAGGAGGGCAATTTGTACAAGCACAAGAAAAGCGCTCCATCAATCGCTTCTTCCAAGTTTTATAAATAATTTTTTTAATATTTTCATTAGACTTTCATTGATTTCTCTGTTGAGGTAAGGTCTCTGCTAAGCTTGTATGTAATTCATCCTTTTATTTCTTGTTTTTTCATCTGGGTACTTTTTTTTGTGTGCTGGATTTATGTATTTTTTCGCTGTGAATTTGAACCCAAATCGGGATTAAGGATTGATAAAAGTTGATGAATTTTTTTATTTACGTGTTTGTATTGGCCCTGTTCTTGATTTGCTAGGGATTGGAGTTTTTTGTGTTTTTAGCTGATACTGCAGTGGATAAAGTTCATAGATTTCTGATTTTGGAGGACCCATTTGTGAATTGCTTCTGAATTTGGATAAAAAAAAATTCTGGGTTTGCAGTTACATCTGTGATTTGTTTTAATTTTTTTTTTTGGGGGCAAGTGTGATTTGTTGCGTATGTGGTGAAAAAAATTGGATGGCTTTATTTGTTGTGAGATTCAATTTTGTGTTTCAATATCACAAAGAAGTGTGGAGGAATTTTGAGATTAGGGTTAGTGTTACTGAATTCCTTAGGAACTAAATGTTGTTGCTTGAGAATTCATAGGCTTTTCAAAGATCCGGTTTTGGGTTTTTTGAATTCTGCCCATTTCTCCGTTTGCTCGTAGGAGGTTAAGATTAGGATCACTTTTTTTGCCTATGGAGAAACTTGATTTCTGGGCGAGATAGTATTGGGTTTTCTGGGATGTTCACCTTGCTTAGACAACGAATGTAGCCCAGCGTGGGGTTATATTAAAACTAGGACGACGGTGCAAGAATAGTAATTTCATTGTAGTGAATAAAAGCCCGTGGTGCTGCTCTTTTTCCAGCTATAACTACCTGATTCGTTTAGTTTTTCAGCTTGCTAGTATATTGCTTGTGATGCCATATGTAGGCAAGTTTGTAGTGTAACTGTTTTCAGTTAGCACAATGAGTTTAATTAGTGATAATCGAAATTCTGTTCATCGTCGTCTAGAAATTCTGTTACAACTGTCAGTTTTGGTGTGTCTTGTGTTCTAGAGATGTGCATCAAGGAGGATAGTAGTCTAATATATGGCAGAGAGCGTAAACGAATATCAGCTGTAATAGCTGTAATAGGAGTTTGGAACCTAAATAGTATCCTCCGACTAGTGAAAAGTCTAGATGAGAAGATCAATCCAGAAAGGCTTCTCAGTATTTTCGGTGGTTAGTCATTTGATGGCATTAGACACCATCTATCCATGTACTTACAAATAGAATTGTTCTATCCAGTACTCGACTTCAAATTTAGCTTTATAGTTCTCTTTCAGCTTATCTCTGATCTAGCATTTTGGTATCTTGAATAGTTTATGATGTCAGAGTATTGTTCTCCGTCGCTGTAAAATTGAACATCAAGCACAAATATGTCATCGCAGTTACGTTATATGGTAGCTGCTTTTGTTTTGGGTAACCAGACCACATAGTACGCAGTAATTCGAACTTTGCCAAATTAACAGCACTGTCATATTGTAGTCTCTGCATACTTTTTTTTTTTAATTGGTGTTTCCCAATTGCATGATTGGTATGTTATATAGGTTCCCATGTGAAATGATCATATTCAGTTGTGGTCTGAATACTCGTATCTACTAGTTTCATTTACCCACTGGAATTGTTGTTGATTAGAAATTGTCAATAGTCAAATTGATTGCAGTCTGTTGCATTGGCTATGATGAGCTAAATCGTTAGCAATGAGTCCTCTCATTCTTAAAGTTCTCTCTAACTGAAATTTTCTAGTATGTATCATGATGTTTGAGAAGCTAAAACACATTATATGATCTTACTCTTTCTTCTAACTAATATGATGATCTTTTATCAGCACACGGAGTGACAAACAAAGGCAATGGTGAGGGCATACACACAAGAATACACATACAAGCACCCATGGGAGCGGGTGACTTCTGCATCGTGGAAAAAATTTGCTGATGCTGAAAACAAACGCACACTATCACATATCCTTGAAGTTGACACGCTGAACCACAAGCTTGATCCCAGCACAGGAAAGCTTTACACCACACGTGTTATCACTGTCCATGCGCCAGGACCATGGTTTGTCCGCAAAATTGTTCGCCAGGATGTCTGCCACTGCGTTGAGTCAACAGTTGTGGATGCGCAAGCACGATCAATGCAACTCGCCACCAATAATATTAGCCTCGAAAAGTTTATAGAGGTGGAGGAGAAGATCAGGTATGATCCCCACCCTGAGAACCCAAATGGCTGGACATTATGCCGACAGGAGACTAGCATTCGAATCAAGCCTTTATCAGCATTGGCATCAATGGCAGAAAAGGTTGAACAACGCTGCGCTGAGAAGTTTGTGCAGAACAGTGCCAAGGGTAGAGAGGTTATGGAGAAGATATGCAAGTATCTTGAAGCTGAATCTAAAGGGATTTCTTTCTAACTTGAACCGGATTTTGTAGTGCTAGATCATGGGCTTGTGAACCCTTTCAAAGTAGAAAATAATCGAAGACGGAAATTGTAGAACCGTGGACAATTTCTCCTCGAATCTCTGTCAGTCGAAATTTTGTTACCGTAAAGTATTTGTTGTGAACTTCAGTTCTGCATTACTTTACATGTAGTTTTTGTAGTTTTGTTCTTGTGTATGATGATTTACCCAATCTCTCTTGTTCATTGTTTACAATTCAGAAGTTATCTAATTTTCGCTTGTGAATTAGCTCAGTGATATGAAAAGAGGGGATGGTTGAACACAAAACCTCGGGTGCAAGGACCGAGCTACAAGTCTCTTTCATGCGTTTACTGCCATTTTCCGCCAATAAAACTGCTATTTTCCACGTCTTCTACCGTCTTACTGTTCTTCTTTCCCTTGACAACAGTTACATTTTGAGTTCAAAAATTGATCATAATCATATAGAAAACCAGATCTTTAAGAACATGCATGAAAACCCAATCGGCAAAAAATAGATAAAAAATCGATCGTAAATACATATACGCATGGAAGCCACATCAATACTTTACAATAGAAGATCCACTGACAATGTACTAGAAGAAACAAGTGCGATATGAACAGCGCATAGACACATTACGAAGATTAACCCGAACCATGTCCATCAAACCGGCATAGACTACAACTTAAGACACTGGAGCAACACATAAGCTTTCTCCCAATCGCAACAAATACAGAGTTCTACAGAGTGCAGAGATGTCTAACTCGCCTTACCCTCCCCAGTGGATCTAATATTACAATAGGGCAAGTGCTAAGATACCGCTGCAGACTCTGAAGCCGTCTCATGGATGAAAACAAGCATCAATTTCGGAAATCAAACTTCACTGCACCACACTTAGATTTTACCAAGCTTGTCAGCTTTTACGACAGGGTTGGCTTTCGCAATAGCATCCTGTCCAGCAGTGAGATAATCGTAAGAGCAGTCATGTTTGTCTGAATAACGATGTACTGCACAAAAGAGGTGGCCACACCGACAATTGAACCCTGTTAATCCAACCCGCTTGTTGCAAGTGTTGCAACGTTTTGGGCCCTCTGGCTTTGGCTCACCAGATGACCCTGAACCAAAGGAAAAGGATGGTTGCGAAGAGAGAGTTTTTGGCTCCATTGGATGGGGTTGAACATCCACAGAAGCAACAGGCTCATTTGCGTTGATGCTTGATGTTCTGTTGACAATGCTTCCAAAGGATGATGCAGCAAGCTTCGCCTGCTCCTGTTTCAAGACCATGTCCTTGTGACACTTGGAGCACATATTCATAGTAGCCGCACTTCCGAAAAACCCACAATTGTTTACGCACAAAATAGGACCTTCCGGGGCAGATTGACATCCAGTCTCCTCGTGCTCCATCTTTTCAACTTACCTGCAAAGAGAGCACCTGAAACCCAAAGTTCAAATTCGACCTCAGATTTCTCACCACTAGCAATTACAATAACTTCACAAACTACCCAATACCTGACCCTTGACTCTCAAATTTTGACTAATCATCCAAATAAATAATCCACACAAAAACCCCAAATTAATAATTTGCAGATTTCCCCTAGAATCAACAAAAACTGGGTAATCAACACAAAAATCCCAAAATGCAAATTTGCAAAGAACCCATTAGAAACCTAAATCAACAAAAACCCAAACTTGGTCAGCCATACAAGCACCTATGAAGCACAGATACTTCAGTTGCGCATATCACGGTCAAAGGATACGGATTTAACTTTATGGATACACGTATCCCACATTTGGGAAACAAGTATCCGGCTTTTAGATACCTTTACACTTTTAAATGAGAAATTAATACGAAACAGAGCTTTTTTTGCAGATAAAGAGACTAGATTTCCAACTTTTCTTCTCCAACAAATCAAATGAAATTGAATTTGGATATTTAGAGTTAAAATATGATTTAAATATATTTTTTTATTGTCGTATCATATACATATACATGCATCCCAAATTGCAAATTTGCAGAGAACCCCTGAAAACACTTAAAATCAATAAAAAAAAAAAAAAACAGAACTTGGTCAGCTTTGCAAGCACAATAAACATATCCATATACATACACAGAAACCATACCCGGTTAAAAACAAATCTCTTGAAATTGCAAGTCTGAAACCCCCGAGCTCAGAATCGCATCAAACACGAAGCCCCTGTTCACCTAAAAAAACCAAGAATTAAAATCAGAGTCGGCAATCGAATACGAAAGATCGAAAAAATCCCCGATCCAAAGTATAAATTGAAACCAAATACACACAAATCAAGCAGTAATTGAAATTAGGGGATTTTCAAAACCGTAACCCTAGCAGATTTTGGATCGCCCGAGGAGAGAGAAATCGAGGGCCAGCAAGAGAGAGAGAGAGTCGTGTTTCACTATTTTCCTGTGCGACGCTCTCGTGAAATTTAATAACGACCATTTCTATTATTATGTCGACGTGGCGGTTTTCTATTGGCGGGAGGTCTTACCTCAATTGGCGCTAATTTCCTCTTTTGTCCCTTTTTGTCAGGGAGCTAATATATTCTCCTTTACGGAAGGGGATTCTCCGCGGATATATTTTGCAAGAGCCCTAAAGATTCTCACATCCTAACTGTTTATCGTATATTGTGTAATTAATTTTCGTCAGATACTATTTATGTTTAATTTTAAATAATTTTTGACTATACGATACACGATAAATGATTAAAATGTGAGAATTTCTAAGATCCCTACAAAGTGGATCCAGATGGAATTCAATTCCCTCCTTTATCAGCGCACAAGTGACAAACAAAACAATGGTGAAGGCATAAACACAATACCACATACAAGGGAATATTTTTACTCGTCTTACTATCATATGAGTTTAAATTTTAAAATTTGTGGAATGAACAACACATTTTTCAAAATTTAAACTCACCAAACGGTGATAAATAGGATAGCGAATATTACCACCATTTGAAGGTATACAGCACCCATGGGAGCAAGGTGGTCCGCACTCGGACTTGTTCCATACAAACAGGTGATCCGGTTGCTAAACCCCAAAATTTCTCCATGGAGGGAGCGACTTCCACATCGGGTAAAAAACTTACTAATACTAAAAACGAACAAACACTATCACTTACAACAATGATATACGAGGTGAGAGTTGAACACAAAACCTCAAATACAAGGGCCGAGGAGAGAGTTGAACACAAAACCTCGGATACAAGGGCCGAGCTACAAGTCCTTTTCCCGTGTTAACTGCCAGAAAATTTCCGCGTCTTTTACCGGTCAAGTGTTCTTTCCTTTCACAACAGTTACATTCTGAGTTCAAAAATTGATCATGATCGTATTGAGAACTAAATCTTTAAGAACACGCATGAAAACCCGATCGACCAAAAAGGAAGAGTAAATAGAATTATGCATGGAAACCACATCGATACTTTACAATACAAGATCCACTGACAATGTACTAGAAGAAACAAATGCGATATAAACAGCGCCGGGACACATTACGAAGATTAACCCGAATCATGTCCACCAAACCAGCATAGACTACAACTTAAAAGACACTGGAGCAACACATAGAGTTCTTCCAATCATAACAAATACAGAGTTCTTCAGACTGCAGAGATGCCTAAACCCTTGCCTAAGTAGATGTAACATTATAATGGGGCAAGTGCTAAGATACCGCTGCAGACTCTGAAGCCATCCCGTGGATGAAAACAAGCATCAATTTTGAAAATGAAACTTCACTGCACCAGGCTTAGATTTTATCGAGCTTCTCAGCTTTTACTACTGGGTTGGCTTTCGCAATAGCATCCCGTCCAGCAGTGCGATAATCGTAAGGACAGTCATGTTTGTCTGAATAACGATGTACTGCGCAAAAGAGGTGACCACACCGACAATTGAACCCTGTTAATCCAACCCGCTTGTTGCAACTGCTGCATCGTTTCGGGCCCTCTGGCTTTGGCTCACCAGATGACCCAGAACCAAAGGAAAATGATGGTTGTGAGCTGATAGTTTGTGGTGCTACTGGCTGAGATTGAATGTCCACAGGAGGAGCAGCAATAACAGGCTCATTTGCATTGATGCTTGATGTTCCGTTGACAATGCTTCCAAAGGATGATGCAGCAAGCTTCGCCTGCTCCTGTTTCAACATCATGTCCTTGTGACACTTGGAACACATATTCATAGTAGCCGCACTTCCGAAAAACCCACAATTGTTTACGCACAAAATAGGACCTTCAGGGGCAGCTTGACATCCAGTCTCCTCGTGCTCCATCTACTCAGCTTACCTGCAAAGAGAACACCTGAAAACCAACAATTTAATGGGGGACAGCTCAGTAAAAGCGGAAATTCACAAGCCCCCTATACACGAAATCAAAAGAACAAACACAAGCAATAACTTACCGAACACCATGTATAATTAAAATAATGCTCGCAGTATAATTTAATGCTGGTTGTATATAAGCAATGTAAATACTAAATTCTTGTTGGAAAGGCACAACTTGTTAAGACTATACGATTCCATGTGACATAATATCAAGGAATGTGAAGTCAGGGTATTGCATTGTCTTTATAATTTCCACACAACTAATCTTTGAACAGAAACCGTTTAGATTTCAATCCGGAAATTAATAACATCCAAAGATGTTAAACCAGTAAAAATTCTTTTTGAATTTGTGTCACAAGGACATATGCTTGCAAATTCAATAAGATAAAAGAAAACAGAAACCTGCTAAAAATCAGAAGCAAAATCTTTTATTACAATACCCGAATGCACATTCGTCGTGACGACAAGTATTAGTAGTCAAGCCACACAAAAACACCTATCAACGAACTGAGAGCAAATACATACAAAAGAATAAATTCAAATACAAAATAAAAATGAAATCTAATTATGATAGACCTCTTCATTTGTGCCAAAGTTCAAATTCAACCCCAACTAGCAATTACAATAACTTCACAAACTAACCAATACCTGACCCTTGACTCTCAAATTTGAACTAAATAATCATTCAAATAATAATCCACACAAAAACCCAAATTTGCAAATTTGCAGATAACCCCTGAAAACACCTGGAATCGTACCCTGTTAAATCAACACAAAAATTCCAAATCCCAAATTTGCAGACAACCCCTAAAAAACACCTAAAATCTACAAAAAAAACCCGAACTTGGTCAGCTATACAAGCACATGTATAAATATACATACACATACACCGAAATCGTACCCTGTTAAAAGAAAACCTCTTGAAATTGAACCTCTGAAACCGATTTCCCGAGCTCAGAATCGCATCGAACACGAAGCCCCTGTTCATCCAAAAAAACCAAGAATTAAAATCAGAGGCAGCAATCGAATACAAAGATCAAAGAAAGCCCTCTATCAAAAGCAGACAACTTGAAACCAAATTCAAAGAAATCAACAGTAATTGAAATTAGGGGATATTCAAAAACCCTAACCTAGCAAATTTTGGATCGCCCGAGGAGAGAGAAAGCGAGAGCCAGCCAGAGAGAGAGAGAGAGAGTCGTGTTTCTCTGTTTTTCGTTTTCCTGTTCGACCCTCTCGTGCAATTTAATAACGACTATTTCTACCATGAGTCCGACGTGGCGGGATCCCATTGGCTCTCATGAATTGCCCTTTTTGTCCCTTTTCTTCGAAAAGGTTGGGAAATATGCTGGTAAGGGTTAGGTGTAGTGGTCGGTTAATCACAATGGTAATGTTGAGATTTTATTCTTTCCCAAGTAAAAACTATTATTCAATGTGATGGAAATACGGTTTGATACAAAAGTGTAATAAGATAATTTGTTGGATAATTAAAAAAAATTGACTAATTGTATTATGACATTTGATGTACCAAACTGTTCCTGGCACACTGAAAAAAATTTAAACCAAACCCGTTTGGAATTTGATAACATGAGCTTGTTTAGAGTAAAAATTACAACGAATAAACATACTGGTAATTCACGAATTTAAACATTACTATTAAAATGTAAGCAGATCTTTTCGACTGCCAAAGAGTGAGTATTTATCATTTTATCAAATATAAATCACAAATTCATGTACATAATCACGAGTTTAATAAAAACTTATGGAAAAAAATATTAGAGATTTTAAGTAATAATATTGTTTTGAGGAATTTTTATACTAGTATTATATTTTAAACTGATCTACATTGTGGATTAAATACTCGAGCTCGGATGCATAAAAATGGGAAGTACATGTGCTCAAGGCAATATGACTACACCCACATATGTTGTTGTAATGACCAATTTAGTTTTAACAGATTTATTATATCTTATGAGAAAACATAATAATTCTTAAGTAATTTTGATGATAGATAAAAAATTAAACAAAATATAGTTGAATAATTGTGCACAGGTTTTATGAATAGTGCTAGGTATACTAAATTATCAAATCATGCGATATGTCATCAATAGAAAATATGCACACTAATCAACACTTAAGTGATAATTCAATCATCAATAACACGTCATATTATTTACAAAAATTGGTCTAAATAATTGACTTCCCACAATACCCGAGCCTTTATAGTTTAACTTCCATTTGATTACTTATATTTTACTCTCAATCAAACTATGAATGCCATATGATTGGTGACACTTCAACCACAAATATGGTAGTGATGATGAATATGTCCATGGAACCTCAAAATGCAAGCAAACACTGCCTTTACAAATTTTGAATATAAAAGGTTTGCTAAATAGTCACTAATTAGTTCTAATTTTCCCCCTTTACTTTTAACTCATATCTTCTCTCTTTTTTATACTTTGATCCCTCATTTATGTTTGATTTAAAGCATGTCTTTGAGTACTTTCAGTCATTACCCTTTCTGTTCTTTTCTTTTTTCCATGTCTTGTCTAGCTAATCTTTAAGAGTAGTACAGATGGTTTCTGCATGATTCCCTTTCATTGGACTTGTATGCTACTCTCTTGCGCTTCGATTCTTCGAAGGCGGTCATGTATGGAACGAAGAAGTAAGAACGATGCGCTGTGGTCTTGAAAATGGAAGATTATCGGCAATAAAGCAAATCGGGGAGGAGATTTGGAGCTGGTTTCTTGTTCTTCACAATTTTGAGAAAAAGATAAAAAATTTACAGAAGTTCTTTTCATTTCTTCCTTACTACGTTCCTTCTTGCAGATGACTTTGTTAGCAAATCAAAATAATATTACACAAATATTGTTCAGTGCAAAGATTCATGGGCGGAAAAGGTAACAATTTACAATGCTTATGTTATTGTCTTTCAAAAATTTTCTGCAGCCTGCATTGAACTCAGGAAATATGTGTGTTCTTCCAGATAAGATAGTTACATAGAGGAACATTTTTTTAAGGCCCGGCAGTTGTTAGCTGTCGATTACCTCTATCCGAACGGCGTTCATCAAAGGAATTTGAAGGCCTTTGCTCAACATCAAGGGCCTTTGCTCCTTTATGCTTGCACAT